TGAAGACTCTCTAAACATGAAAAAAAAGCCTTTATTGAAAGAAAGTCATAAGTGGTGCAGTTTGCTAAAAACCATGTGGAGAAAACACCAAACACATAAATGACGGTGGTCTGGAATACTTTGGCCAACACTGTGTGCAAAGGAAAATTAACTGCTACCTTATCCTGAACAAAACATTATCACTGTGAAACACGGTAGTGGCAGCATCAAGCTGTGGGGATATATGGAAGCTGGTCAGAGTAGGTGCAAATCTGAATGAAGGTTGAAACTTTTTACAGGCTGGAAGATTTAAAACCATGATATAGGTGAACCTTAAAATGAGAGAAAATTGCTGAACATACAGTAAGAGCTAAAGGTGTACAGACTGTATTCTGATGTAAGAAAGGAAACAGTTGAAAAGCAATTGCAATTGGGTTTGAATAAAGTTGTTGGATTTTTTTTTCCTTATATAAATAAAATAAAGAGAAATATTTCATGTTGATCCTAATATTTTTTGAAAGATTTCATTGGTCGGAGAAGTGCCCGGAAGCTCATTTGTGGGTTATTGTCGCAGTCGTGGGGCTGCTGCAGCACCCCCTAGTGGCGAGAGGGAGATTTAAAATAAATGCAGGATTTATAAATTTCTTATGAATATTTTGGGAACTTGTTTTGACTGTTTTTATTTTACTATTATGTGTATTTATTTGGAATGTAATTTAATAATTTTGAGTCCCAATCGACATAACTCTGTGGAAGTTACATTGTCAGTAAGTAAGAGCATAGTGCCACCGCATCCTTTCATATCTATTCGTGCAGTTTAACGTAACCATAGTATTTTAGGGTGTTATTTTGATCTTGTGTACTTTGTGTAATGGATGTAGAGAACTGTTCATTAATGTTTAAATAGTAAAATAATATAATTATTTCTTTGTGGTTTGTGTAAAAGGATTTGGGAGCTAATAGAGTCAGATGTGACATAAACACAGTGACACAGGTTCATCCCAGCTGACCACATTGTTATAGTGTCATTATGCTGTGTAATTAATAGCGCATATATTCACCTGAGAACTGATTATGTCTGTGTGTTACAGAGCCTGGTTGCATGCACTAAAGTGTATATGACAATAAATGAGTGAATCTCAATCTATTTAATAATTTATTTTTATTTTATTTTAAATAGGCCTGCCTCCTGTTCAAAATGACTTCCAGTGGCCCTGGTCCCAGTCAAAGAATCTCAGGCAAAGAGACCAATGAGTTCATTCAGAAAAGCGGTTATGCACATTTAAAAGGAATTAACTCTGCAGGGCTGATCATAAAGAAAATTAAGCTAGGTATCTTTTTCCTTCCAACCGTAATTATAAATCTCCTTGTTCTGTTTCAGCCAGGGGCGGATTTACCATTAGGCAAAACTAGGCAGTTGCCTAGGGCCCCAAGTTCCTGGGGGGCCTCATAAACCTAATTTTACGTGTATTGTTAATACAGGTATTACCCATTTGTGCACATTAATTATGTTTTTGATAAAATTCCTTTCTCTAAATTGCCGTCACAATGCTTATATTATTAAGGTGTCCACCCCGGCGCCCTTTAGTGTCCACCACATTGGAACAGCCCATTTGCTGAGTATGTGCAGAAAGGTCTACTATACTTTTTATTAAGACAGCATGGATGTTTAAATATATGCGTCTATTTGTTAGCAAATGCTGTAGGGAAGTTTAGATTGTCTTTATTTGGAAAATATGGATGTTTTGCTCATTCCTGTTGAGACAATGTAGATTGACTGAGGGGTGGCCCTTTCGGTGTACATTGGTTTTTGACAGGCCGCCCCTATTAAAATTTTCTGGGAACGCCTCTGCTGTTAATTACGGAAGAGGATTAGGGCCACTGAAAAAAAATAAAAAGAAGTTAATCGATTCTTAAATTTTATTTCAGTTTAATATGACAAAAAAGTCAGAATTCTGAGATTAAAATCAGAATTCTGACTTTTTTCTCAGAATTCTGACTTTAATCTCATAATTCTGACTGAATTCTGGCAGCTAACAAACATGTTAGTATCAAGCTGTAGCCATGTCTGTTTTAGAGATTAGCTCTCTTGTTTTAATCACTTTCTGCTCTTCCATTAATGAAATAGCATCACTGGGGACCCCTCGGGCACATAAAAAGTTGCCTAATTCCGTCATTTTCCACCATTGTGTTACTGGCTCCCAAACAAATCACATCTTCGTCAGTGAAGCTGAGTGCTCCCACATCTCTTCCTTCATGGTGCCCATCTACATTAAGATCCAAAAATTCTGAGATTAAAGTCAGAATTCTGAGATTAAAGTCAGAATTCTGATTTAAAAAAGTCAGAATTCTGAGATTTAAAGTCAGAATTCTGATTTAAAAAAGTCAGAATTCTGAGATTTAAAGTCAGAATTCTGATTTTAAAAAGTCAGAATTCTGAGATTAAAGTCAGAAATCTGAGAAAAAATTCAGAATTCTGACTTTAATGTCAAAATTCTGAGATTTAAAGTCAGAATTCTGACTTTTGTCTCAGAATTCTGAGATTTAAGTCAGAATTTGGTGATTTAAGTCAGAATTCTGAGTTTTAAAGTCAGAATTCTGAGATTTAAAGTCAGAATTCTGATTTTAAAAAGTCAGAATTCTGAGATTAAAGTCAAAAATTTGAGAAAAAATTCAGAATTCTGACTTTAATGTCAAAATTCTGAGATTTAAAGTCAGAATTCTGACTTTTGTCTCAGAATTCTGAGATTTAATTCAGAATTCTGAGATTTAAGTCAGAATTCTGATTTTAAAAAGTCAGAATTCTGAGATTAAAGTCAGAAATCTGAGAAAAAATTCAGAATTCGGACTTTATTGTCAAAATTCTGAGATTTAAAGTCAGAATTCTGACTTTTGTCTCAGAATTCTGAGATTTAAGTCAGAATTTGGTGATTTAAGTCAGAATTCTGAGTTTTAAAGTCAGAAGTCAGAATTCTGAGATTTAAAGTCAGAATTCTGATTTTAAAAAGTCAGAATTCTGAGATTAAAGTCAGAAATCTGAGAAAAAATTCAGAATTCTGACTTTAATGTCAAAATTCTGAGATTTAAAGTCAGAATTCTGACTTTTGTCTCAGAATTCTGAGATTTAATTCAGAATTCTGAGATTTAAGTCAGAATTCTGATTTTAAAAAGTCAGAATTCTGAGATTAAAGTCAGAAATCTGAGAAAAAATTCAGAATTCGGACTTTATTGTCAAAATTCTGAGATTTAAAGTCAGAATTCTGACTTTTGTCTCAGAATTCTGAGATTTAAGTCAGAATTTGGTGATTTAAGTCAGAATTCTGAGTTTTAAAGTCAGAAGTCAGAATTCTGAGATTTAAAGTCAGAATTCTGATTTTAAAAAGTCAGAATTCTGAGATTAAAGTCAGAAATCTGAGAAAAAATTCAGAATTCTGACTTTAATGTCAAAATTCTGACATTTAAAGTCAGAATTCTGACTTTTGTCTCAGAATTCTGAGATTTAAGTCAGAATTTGGTGATTTAAGTCAGAATTCTGACTTTTGTCTCAGAATTCTGAGATTTAAGTCAGAATTTGGTGATTTAAGTCAGAATTCTGAGTTTTAAAGTCAGAATTCTGAGATTTAAAGTCAGAATTCTGATTTTAAAAAGTCAGAATTCTGAGATTAAAGTCAAAAATTTGAGAAAAAATTCAGAATTCTGACTTTAATGTCAAAATTCTGAGATTTAAAGTCAGAATTCTGACTTTTGTCTCAGAATTCTGAGATTTAATTCAGAATTCTGAGATTTAAGTCAGAATTCTGATTTTAAAAAGTCAGAATTCTGAGATTAAAGTCAGAAATCTGAGAAAAAATTCAGAATTCGGACTTTATTGTCAAAATTCTGAGATTTAAAGTCAGAATTCTGACTTTTGTCTCAGAATTCTGAGATTTAAGTCAGAATTTGGTGATTTAAGTCAGAATTCTGAGTTTTAAAGTCAGAAGTCAGAATTCTGAGATTTAAAGTCAGAATTCTGATTTTAAAAAGTCAGAATTCTGAGATTAAAGTCAGAAATCTGAGAAAAAATTCAGAATTCTGACTTTAATGTCAAAATTCTGAGATTTAAAGTCAGAATTCTGACTTTTGTCTCAGAATTCTGAGATTTAATTCAGAATTCTGAGATTTAAGTCAGAATTCTGATTTTAAAAAGTCAGAATTCTGAGATTAAAGTCAGAAATCTGAGAAAAAATTCAGAATTCGGACTTTATTGTCAAAATTCTGAGATTTAAAGTCAGAATTCTGACTTTTGTCTCAGAATTCTGAGATTTAAGTCAGAATTTGGTGATTTAAGTCAGAATTCTGAGTTTTAAAGTCAGAAGTCAGAATTCTGAGATTTAAAGTCAGAATTCTGATTTTAAAAAGTCAGAATTCTGAGATTAAAGTCAGAAATCTGAGAAAAAATTCAGAATTCTGACTTTAATGTCAAAATTCTGACATTTAAAGTCAGAATTCTGACTTTTGTCTCAGAATTCTGAGATTTAAGTCAGAATTTGGTGATTTAAGTCAGAATTCTGACTTTTGTCTCAGAATTCTGAGATTTAAGTCAGAATTTGGTGATTTAAGTCAGAATTCTGAGTTTTAAAGTCAGAATTCTGAGATTTAAAGTCAGAATTCTGATTTTAAAAAGTCAGAATTCTGAGATTAAAGTCAGAAATCTGAGAAAAAATTCAGAATTCTGACTTTAATGTCAAAATTCTGAGATTTAAAGTCAGAATTCTGACTTTTGTCTCAGAATTCTGACTTTTTAAGTCAGAATTTGGATTTTTTTCCCATATTAAACTGAAATAAAATTTCTGTCAACTTTTTGTATTTTTTCAGTGTCCCTAATCCTCTTCCGTAGTAAATCATTTTGCAAAGCTGTAAATGTTGACTTGCAGCTTTGGTCTGAGCTGTGATGAGTTGAATGAAGCGAGAGAGGGAGAGAGAAAGAGAGAGAGAGTGCAAATAAGAGAGTGAGTGAAGAAAGCTGCACAGTTCCCCGTAGCAGCGCTGCCTCATTCCTCCACAGCCTGCCTGCAGTCCGCTCGCTCTAAGCGCCTTTAGCCGCTCTCCAATTAACATCTGCAGCCTTTTCAATCACTTTGGTCTGTTGGAGCCAGACGCGCACAGCTCCACTCCTCGCCAACTTTGCCTGCGCGTCCTAAAAATCTCTGCGTAATGTAATGAAGAAAAAAGGCAACGGTGACAAATATTTCCAAGCGAGGAGGGTTTGAAGCCGGTCCTCACAGGTGTGGTAAAACAAGGGGCGCTAATTGGCCTGCCGGACTGGGAGGATGGATGCGCTCGCGGGGAACGGGAGCGCGCGCAAAGTGCTGGGCGGCTGGGGGAATATCAGCGGGGAACTTATGGACGATAACACGAGCTGCTCCAACAGCTCTGTGGGGAACCGACCGGCCACCAGAGCGCGAGGTAAAACCACACCTTTTCTCTTATATACATATATATGTATATATATATATATATATATATATATATATATATATATATATATATATACATGCATAAAATAGGTTATTTCTAATATATATATATATTTGGTTAATATAACAAAGTATTAATAATAAAGTTATCTATCTATCTATCTATCTATCTATCTATCTATCTATCTATGCTTTCTTTTCTGTTGTATATATATATATATATATATACATGGACAAAATAGTTATATTTCTAATCCATACATATATAGTAAATATAGCAAAGTAATAATAATAAAGCTATCTATCTATCTATCTATCTATCTATCTATCTATCTATCTATCTATCTATCTATCTATCTATCTATCTATCTATCTATCTATCTATCTATCTATCTATCTATCTATACATATATGTATTGCCTGTCTAATTTTTTAGGGACGTTTGTCAGTTTCTTTATTTTTTTCTAAAAAATAAGGTTTTACCACATAAAATCTTTCTCTTAAAATTACCATTTATGAATTATTTCCTCTTTGCAAGAAAAAACCCATTGGTGGAATTAATGGAATATGTTAAATGGTTGGTGTAGAAGCACAAACTAAAATGAAAAATAAAAAAAAGCCTCTTGTCCAAAGCCTCCCGTGCACCGGTGTGTGCTTCATCCAGTGATGATTTGCAAGCCTGTTTTTTTTTTTTTTTGTGTTAATCAACTTCTCCAGCTCTGCTGTATACAATAAATCACAGAGCTGGGCAAATTTACTGCCGCTTTCTTCCCGCCCCTGCATCAACAACGACCAGATGAATACTGTGTGAAAAGAAGCTGTTTTAATTCACAATGTTTGTTTTGCATGTTTCTAATTCGGAAGTGCTAAAGAAATTAAACCCAGCAGTGGAGGAGATAAAGCCCCCTGAGTCCTCTATCATGGCACCAGTTGCACATCCAAGACTGACTTGCTAATGAGGTCTGAACAAGAGTGAAGCCTCATTTTAATATTTTCTCTTTTCTGTCTCTGCGCAGTATTGAAAAGAGATTTGAAATACTTCCCCCAATAAATAATTCAGCCATTTCTTCACCTATTGAGACCTACTCTTTAAAACCTGAGATGTAAGTGAGCTGTGAAGCTCTTTAGCAGCACATGAGCTCAGTTACTACAAAAAAAAGGAATCAAACACCTTGAACCTTTTAAGTTTTAGATTCATAGAAATGCTCCATTTTTGTTCCTAGTCCCCCAAACATGGGGTGAGACTGGGTCTTCATTTATTTAGCAGCATTATTTACCTTCATCATCCTTCTTCTTCAGGTCAGAAGGGAGCATTGGAGCCTGTTTTTGCATGTTTGTTTCTCTAAGGGGTCTGTATTTATGACAGGAAATTAAAATCCCTACCTTCACCACTTGTCTACATGATTTTGTAATTTTCTACCAGGACTGAGCTTCAAATGCAGCGGTAGTATATTTGATGTTTTATCATTTGAAAAATGAAAGAGAGACAGACAAAAACAGATTCTCTTGGTCTTGATATTAAAGACGTGCGGAGGTAGAAAGCCTTGCAGGGTAGGGAGATGAGACCAACAACAAGCTTAGATTGGCCAACAAAGGCAAATAACTGAGGGTGCCAACTGAGACCAGACTGAAACCAGACTGAGAACAACTGAGACCAGACCAGTGGCAGGGGAGAACAACAGAGCATACCAGTTCTATAAGAAGGGTGAGATTTAGTCCAACACCAACTGAAAAAAGGGTCAAGGCAAGGACTAGACTTCAAAGGGAGACAAGACCATACAACCCTAGAGCAAAGCATGCCAAGACCAAATTTTATAGGTGAGGCACAGCCAAGACCTGAGTATACCAAGACTGTAAGACTGTGAGAGTGATGAAAACTGGTCCAAGACCAATGGCAGAGGACACAAAGTTAAGACCAAGACTTCAAAGGCATGCAACACCAAGAATAGGGTGTACTCAGGGCCGTAACAACCATTGAGGACACAATGATCGTGTCTTCTGTATTTTATTAATTAATTCATTGCTCAAATTGTGCAACATATTCTCATTATCAGTTCGTATGAAATCGTACGAAAAGTTTTGCACAGTATTTCGCACGTTTTTGAAGTTTTTCTTGAAAAAGACAGATCAGTGCGCATGCGCAGGCAGACAGACGAAAAAAGCAGATCCGCGGACGGACATAAAACTGGGAAAAACAGTGCAGTAATTACTTCTTCATGTCTCTAACTACATTGTTTGCTGTTTTGTATCTTAGGGTTAGGGTCAGGGTTAGGGTTAATTGTATGTTAAATTCTATGTTATTGAATGGTGCGTAAGATGCGCATGCACAAGGATATCTTGTCTCGAGGCAAGACGAAAAAATACGACGAAATACGGCAAAAAAAACGTCAAAAACGTACAAAATTACGGTGCATAACTTTTCGTACGATTTCATACGAACTCATAATGAGAATACACTGAATTTTGACATTCACCAAAATAAATTCCAGTTAAACTGACTGTAGTCAGTCTATCGTGAAAGCATTCGCTAAGATGATTTACTAATGCCTACTTATGGCTTTATACAGGAATAAGTCGGACACGTTGTCTCTTCTTGGTCTCACACACCATTTTTTTGCACATGCTCAGTGTAACACAGTAGTGCACGTATGCAGTTTAACATGGCTTTGCAACACAAAACAGAAATATACTCAACAAGGACGACGATCTTGGTCTCTCACTAAACTGTGAGGTGTTTTATATTTCAAGAAAGAAAACTAGCGCAACTATCTAATAAAAGCAGCTGTTTAAACCTCCTAAGTCAACATGCACTCTCACTATGGTAACTAGATGTTCTGACTCTTGACCTCAGTATTTTTGGGCCCTGCGTACAGCGCTGGGTATACTAACATAAAATAAAGACAAAAGCATATAAAAATTTTGAAGGGCCATTAACAACAGGGCAGGAGAACAAGAGCAGTGTTAGAAGATTTTCAAGAAATTGTTGCAATTACAATATTTAGTTGTTGCTGCAACTATTTTAAGAAAGTCTGGCTAAGGCAGCTCATTCGAAAGCTAACATGGGGCTCCGGACTAACTGGATCTACTTGTGTGTTTAACTTTTTCAGTAGGTGCATTGGTGCATTTAAGTAAACCAAAAATTTTACCTAAGTAGACTCTTATTTTTTTAGCATTAGCTGTAGGCAGAGCTAGTGGGAGAGCCAGGTTCACCTGAAAGATTAAACTCCTCTAGTTTTCTTCCTTTTTTGTGCTGCACAGACAGAAAACTTGAACTTTTCCATATTTTCCATCTGAAAGGCAATCATTTGTCTTTCAATGATTGCTAAATGTGTAATTTGAAGTTTAACAGATTTTCTAAAAGTATAGGCTTGGTAGAATTGGACACTTATCAAATCCCATCCCCATCCTTTAAACAATTATGGTCAGTCGGTTTCCTTCATAATGATTCTACAATCCACTTAAATACATAAAAACCCCAAACAAAACAACAAAAAAGTATTTGCAAAAAAAACAAAACAAAACAAAAACACCCAAACATACACCAATAATTAACATTTAAAAACAAGTACAAAATTATAACAAGGACAATAAATAAATGATGGTTAACCATTTATATCTTATACCAAAAGCACTATTTAAGCCCCGCACCTATCCCTGTATTGCTTAATAAACATTCCTTTATCTTTTTTAAACATCTTTTATCTTATTTTTTTGATTGCACAACCTGTTTCAGATCTACGTTTCACTATTTCACAAATCTAGTGATCTTTTAATTTTTTCCACTTTATATAACCCCTCGAAATATATTCTTAAATATTATCAGTATATATAATCTGCTTATTGTTGTCTAATTTATCATATTTGAAAGGTTTAATGAATGATAGATAATGACAATGAAATTAAATTGTTTAGAGAGCTGTCTAAACAAAAATTTTCTTTTGTTTTACACTTGTGTAAACAAAATGATAAATAAATCTGTCTAAGTCTTTAAGATTTAAAGTGCTTTGGCTGCCATAATGAAGTACATTTACCAATAAAAGTGACATGTCTCTACAAACTGCTTTTTTGTAAAGTTGCATCATTTGACGTCACGTGGGTGAGTCAAACAATCCTACTTTAGCTCTGTGTGAGAGTAGGTAGTTCCATGTCATTTTTGAGTAACGAGTTTGGTGAAAGTTTGACATTGCATTTATTGATCATAAACACGGTCAAATATTGTGTTTGTTGAACTCTGATGAATGATGCTGAACTAAATGAGACTTGTTCCCTCAGAGAGACGGATGCCACCACTGTTCCAGGCCAAATGCCAATTATAAAGGAGCAGACGACTCAGCAAACAGGAAATCACACTTGCTAGTGGATGTTGGAGAAACTTTAGATAATTGGAAGATTTATTTTCTCTGGCGACGAAGCGCGAACAAGAAGTATCAGTGCCCCACTGGCAGCTAGTGTTTCCTCACTGCTTACCACCTAAGGTTTTCTGTGCTTGATTTGTTTTCAAGTTCTAAAAGCAAATCACCATACAAAATCTCTTAGAATGATGTATTTGGTTCAGAAAAAACAGCAGGAGGCTGCTGTACTGAACTATCGCGGTAAAATCGCCTCCACTAACTGCTCTCAGACCACAACTCTTTTCTTCTTTAGCCATTATTTCTTCCACGGGTCTCTCTTTGCTCTCTTGGGCATCCAACAGGCTCAGAGTTATAGAGTTGTAGTCCATCCAATGGCGTAAATATCAGGAAGCAGAGACAGCAATTGCTTACGGGCCCACAACCTCTTAGGGGCCCCATCACTGACACCTGGTGGACCCCCTACGTAATTGTTGACTACGACATCTATTTGTAAATGTAATGGTGTGAAAAATTCCGCTTAAACTTACCTGATATTGAAGTTGCTGTCCGCATCGGACCATATTTATACCGCAACACATGCTAGATTTCAACATGATGGTGAGCCGTTTAAAGACGACACCAATAGCAAACCAGACAG